CCCCTTCATATTTTTGTTTCAATATTGCACTGATGCCTTTTCCTTGGTCCTAAAATTAAGAGCCAGACATGGTTAAGGGATAAAGGGTTTTTACTTTGGTATTGAATAAGGATTTTTTACGGTGTGACACTTCTCCAAGGTGGAATACTCAGAAATGCACACAGACTGTAGATTTCGTGTAAAGTTTTATAGACCTTGTAAATTAGCATATCTAACAAAGATGCTCTAATTAGAGGTTTGAATGAATAGCATGATATCTCCTTGCGCTGAAGTATTCCCCCTTAGATGGGCCTAATCCAAGCTTACAGGATGTATTCTGGAAGGGACCTTGGTTTCTCAAGATAGTGTAGGATTTCTGGCCTCCAGCTGCGAGGCCTTTAGGATGTTTGGTCTTGTGGCCTAACAGAATACCAGGACTATGGTAAGTTATCAGACTTAAAGAATTACATGTATGCATACTAAGGGCACAGAGAATACATAAAAGGTATATAAAAGAAAAGGCAAAAAATTGTCATGGCATCAGCACTGGTATTACTTGATCTGATTCACTAAGACTAGAAAAAAAAAGTAGTAAATATAGATGTTAATAAATGGGCAGGATTAGATAAAATCAGCCATAAGAAACTGTGAGAAGAAAAAAAAATTGTGTCTGGGGTCTATGTATCATAGGAGGCCACCAATATATTCAAAAACTCTTTTAGCAAGGCCTGGAAAACGCCAAAGCAGTGGGACCAGCTACCAATCCTGGTGAGATGACACAGTCTGTGAGAAAATTAGATCCAGGGATGAACACAGTCTCTTGGGAAGCTGTTGGAAAGGCTCCAGTGAAGTTCAGCATTACTGGTTTCTGGAGGAAGGGTGATAAGTATGCCAATAAAAGGGGTCGTGTGGACATAATAATCCTCTTTCACTTTCAAAAAGCCTTTGAGAAGCTTTTTGCAAAGCTTATTAAACTTTGTAAAGAAAATAAGTTGCCACAAGATTGGATGAGAGGTTGGTTTTGGAGTTGAAAGCTGATATAATAAGAGGAAGTGAGGGACAGGGCTTAGTGGTCACTCTCCAGGAAGGAGGAGATTTATGCAGTCAGGGTATAATTCAGGTCAGAAGGGACCTCTGGAGGCCATCTAACCCAGCCTCCTCTCCAAGCATGTCTAAAGGGCTAAGGTTATGTAAGGACTTCTTCAGTGAAACTTGAATATGTCCAAGGATAACCATTCCACAATTTGACACAAAAGCCTTAGAATTTGAGCTGTTTTTTCTTGATGCCTCCACCTGTGACCTCTAGCAAGCAGTGATATCTGTTGGGCTGGAGAGACATTGGGCTCTGGCTGTGAGTGCCTGTGCCATGCCTGAAACAGTCTTGAATATGCAGTGTGGGGTTGAACTTGGTGGTCCTTAAGGTCCTTTTCAACTCAAACCATTCTGTGGTTTATGTGTGGAAATAAAAAAAAAATTGCTTCCAAGTTTGAACAACACTACATGACTTTTCTGGCATGGTTATGCTGAGAAAAGCTACTGTCCCTCCACTCCTTTCCCACACACACACACACACAGATGGCTTTTGTTGATGGGGATGTGGCAGATAGCTACAACAACAAAAAACCTGCTTTTTGTCTGCTGGTGCTTTGTCCGAGCAGGGGGTCTTGGCTGGCAGATCCTACAGCAGCCATGTCTACTCTGGACAAGCACCAGTAAAGCCAAGCCTATCTCAGGATTTTTTTTTTTTTTTTTTTTTTTTTTTTTTTAGTATTAGGAGGAAACAGGTCTATACAGCAAAGTGTATTAGTGTTATTTGGAATTATATTCTTTCATAAAAAATAATAAATAATTTACCTGTTCTACGGCAACACGTTTTCTCTTGCACCTGAAGCGAACTACACCAGCATCACAGCAGCAGCAGCAGCAGCAGCTTTGTGCAGTGTGCAGATTCACCTAATTATTTGGTTTGGCAACGACTTTGACTTCAAGTACATTAAATCTCCTCACTGTCCTGAAAATAAAGGCCGGATAATTCTGCATGGATCAATGCACATAAGGCTACAGCTTTCACTAGGGAAAAATCCTCCTCCTTGACTTGCCTGCACTTATTTCCTTTCACTAGCAAATATCATTCCCCTTTGTCATTAACGACTGTGTATTTGTTTTCAGTGCTGAGGTACTCACTGGAAAGCTACAATGGAAATGGTTTGAAAAAAAATATGTTCCAGGACAAACTTCACAAGGCAGAATATGCGATTGTTTCCTGGACCTTGTCAAAGACTCCCTTCTCTGCAGTTTAGTCTCTGTTTGTTTGTCAGCAGCAATGGCAAATGCTTGGTGTATGAAAGGTTTGCTGATCACAGGAGGGTATTCAACTTTCCGATTGCCAAACAGAGAACAGTCAAGCAATCCTCTGTAATCCTCTCAGTTAAACAATCTTTTACAGCTTTCTCTTGCAGTGCCCATGTAACTTGTAGAATGCATCTAGGGTAGGGGTGAAAAGAAACTTCCCTATTCTTGGTATTTATTATCCTGCCAAAGTGAACTCATTTCCTTTCCTGTTTTGTTTGTTTGTTTATTTGAAATGCATTGCACAATCCCTGAGCAATGCAAGCAAAAATAGGATTATGGACCTACTTTGACAGGAGAACAGACAGCATTCTCCAATTTTAATGCTTGCTTTTTAAATATTGTTTTCAGTCATCTGATTGCTGGAAAACCGTTATTAAAACAGTTCAGTGTATTTTGAGTATGTAAACTTTAAGTGTTGTTCATCATCTGAGATGAATCTCACATCCACCATCTGCACACCTTTCCCAAAGCTGATACTTCTGTCAGTCCCAAGTAGTTTCCCAGGTGACTGAAGGAAGAAGTGAGAGGAAAACAAAAATGTTTTCTGTGACCTTCCATCTCAGTTGGTACTCCTACCCTTGTCACCCCTAAGCAGGACTAGGTCTGCCGCAATAATAAGCTATGTTAATTAGAGTTTGAGCTAGTTGGGTCACTCCTCATTAGTACTGCCTTATTTACCAGTCCAGTTTTTCTTGGTATTACAACTATCTGTATGAGTGTCCACATCTGCATGTGTGGATGTGTTGTAGTTATAATATGCATGCATGTATTTTAAACATATGGTTATATAAATCTGTGTATGCAGACTTGTGTCTGTATATGCATGTGCACATTTATTTCTGTTTTTAGCTATTTATGCATTTAGCTATACCAGGTCAGGCTCATTAGTGATGTGAAAAACTTTTCTCCCAAAGGTTTCCTCATTTTCAATGGGTAGATTGCTACAAATGAAAATTTAAGAATTCCAAGAGATCTTCAGTGACCTTTAAAAAGTACACAAATAGTCATGGTTGCAAAATGTTGAGTGCTCTGTTGACTCACAACATGATGTATTTGGACGCCACTGAGGCTTTGGATGTGGACAGGGATACATCACAGTCAGAGGATCATCTGGGGAAAAAGCCAGTGGTTTCCTGTGATACTTTTTAAAACTTACCTATGAAATATACATTATAACTTTTTTCCAGGATGAAACAAAAACACAACCTCCACTTGTCATTTGTCTTTCAGTTTTCTAGAGCAAAGCTAGATTGAAAAGCAGAAGCTAGAATGGGATAAAATGTGTGAAAACAAACAGGGTGGGAAATTATCTGTTGTTTTGTTCTTTGGGTTTTTTCTTTTTCAGAAGTCCCTATACAATTTATAATAAAAATAATAAATTAGCACTCATTAGCAGACAATAATACTTACGTTTTATTATAATGGTCTTGCCATTCAGTATTATACCTGTATAAAACTTTGTTAGTGACATCAAATGTCATCTCCTAAAGTTCCAAATAGTGGAACAGTACTTTTCTCAAAGTACTCAAAAAAACCCCAAAGATTGTTGCAAGCAAAGCTCTATTCATTATTCTGTTGGTAATCGTGTCAAGTTCTGTTTTGAATGAGTTCTTGCCCGTGTGATTAACAGCAGCATGTGTTCACATAACACAGAGTATTGTGTACCATCTAGTATGCCTAAAACATTTTTACTCTTTTTTTTTTTAATTTTTTTATTTTAATGTATATAGTGGTGTGTGGCTGCAAATGGTATTTTTAGAACAGATGTAGTATATTTCCTGTGTAACCTCTGTAAGTGACCCTGCATTGGGGGTTGGGCTAGGTGATCTTCAGAAGTCCCTTGCAACTTAAACCATTCTGTGATTTATGTTTGTTTTACTATAATGCGAGAGCATCCTTTTGGAAAATTGTGCTTTTGAACACTAAAACCCCCACGTGGCATTTAAGAAATTGTATTACTAATCAGCCTACTATGAAAGCACTTTGAACAGCCTATTGAAAAGATAGATATTATTTCAATAGTAATAAAAAATAGTTTAAATGCTTTAAAAGAGGAAGTTTACACCGCTCTCTCCTTCGGCTGTGATAGTCCCAGGTTCCTCCCCTGGTGCAGACGGGCGGTGGCACCGTCCCCTGGTGTGGGGATGCTGGTCCTGTTCGGGCGGGCGGCAGCAGAAGGCGTGCCGGATGGGACGCAGCTCTGCCCCAGCGCCCTTCCCTGCCCCTGCTCACCTGGGGCAGCTGCCCTCCGTTCGTCACCTCGCTCTGCCCATCGCTCTGCGGGGCTGGCTGACGTCAGGATGCGGTGGCCGGGACCGCCCGGCCGGACGCGGCTTCGCCTTCCCCGACAGCGCCGGGGCACCGCGGCCGCCGCAGCCCGGGCTGCTGCTCATCCTGCTGCTTCCGATCCCGCCGCTGCTGCAGACTGCTGCAGATCCTGCATCTGTTATTGCGACTGCTGCTGATCCTGCCGCTGCTGCAGCTCCGGCGTGCGGCTGCAGTCCACCGCCTGGAGCAGCCAGCCCCGAGTTACCCGGCCTGGCCACAGCCGGGGGAATGCGGCAGGAGTCCCCGAGGTCACCGCAGCGAAACTGAGCCTGGATACCAAGAAATAACAAGCCAAACCCGCTAGGATTTGCAATGCAAGCAGCCTTTCCAGATTTCTTTTCTGCTTTGCTCCCACCCTGCAGTTGGATTTGAGATCATGTATGTGTTTTGCTGTTGATTACAGGAGGGTGTTAAAATCTAGGGATTGAAGAGGATTCGGAAGGATTAATATGTTAGTTTTGATTTAAGGGGATTTTATTTTCTTTCCCCTTATCTCCGCCCTTCATATTTGTTAACACAACTTTGTCTTTATTGTTTTTATTCTAGGTCGGTTAATATTGTAGCTTTTGGGAATGAAAGAGATGGTTTTTCTGAGGACAATCAGCAACCCAGCCTGATCTGGAGTTATCTCGGGAGAAGTGCTCTCATTTCCCAGATCGACAGCAGCTTGTCTGCCAGTCACGTTCGAAACCCAGTTTTTACTGAGTATCAAGCCTGCGTATTTGGAAATGTCAGACTGGTGGTACATGACTGCCCTGTCTGGGTAAGAGATTCATCTCAGTCTTTTTAACTACACTTAACAGTGTGAGCTGTTTTAGTAAAATGAAACCATATTCTAATTTTAAATTATTTTCATTGTTGTGGGATTTTACTTGTAGTTTTATTATTGCATTTAATAAAAACCTATAAAATGTAACCAGGCAAGTGCTAGGAAATCTCCAATGTGCTATAAAAAGGTTGTCATAAACGAACCTCTGCTGGGCCTTTTGCTAGTAAGAAAACTTACTTTTATGCAGGTGAGCAGATCAATGCTTATGTAAGAAATGATACTGATAATCTAAATTAAAACATATTTAATGACTACATAGTAGCCTTACAAAAAAAACCCAAAAACCTCAGCTTACCTGATGTTAGAAATTAAAACAATAATCAGTTTCAGCTCCGTAACTCTATCCTTTGGGTGAGTTTTGTACTCCTGTGAGGGAAACCTTTTGTAGAATCTGCAGGAGCCATAACAGCTCCATGAAATGATCAGAAGCCAGCAATCTTAAAATGAAACAATCCAGTTTAGCTGTCCCTCTGTTCTTTATTTCTTTTTGCCAGCTGCTTACAGACACCAGTTCAGATGGACTGGGGGATCCTGTTTCTAAGCTGTGAAGCTGCATGTGACCTGCACATGCAGTTTGCTGGAGTCACCGGAGTGCAGCAAAGAGTAAAATCTCCTGAATATAAATTAAGTCTGTAGGGCTTCAAAGGCTGTTTCAGAGGGATGGAGGGGGGTGGGTAAGGGAGGTGGGAAGGCAAGTGGGGGTTGCTGGAGAAGGGGAAGCAAGGACATAGATTGGAGACAGAGTTTATGTGTTTTTACATTGCTTTAATTGCATTTGGCCTTCTACAGAACAAGGTTAAGTTGTGGAGATCTTATAATTTCTGCCCTTCAAAAGTTAGCTTGTTATTGTCTGAGTCACTGCATTTCTAAGGCAGGGTTTTTTCCCTCTATCAGCTAAAGAAGGCAGGAGATATATTACTGAGAACGTTGAGGACAAATTAGCATTTTTTTTCTTCGTGGAAGACTGTCAGATAGCAGGACTGAACTCTGCTGGAGGTTATTTGTCATGCATAAAGCAGTGTCCTTGGTAGGGTACGGCAGAGCAGGACCATTTCACACGGCCTGAGTGCTTGAGGTTTACAATGTCACAGTGGCTGGTTCAGGGCTGCTCCTCTGCCAGCCTGGGGAAACAGCACAGAACAATCCAAAATGTTGCCAGGTGTTGCCTCAAGCCATATTCTGGATGGAAAAGGATCTGTGTTACATGTTACCAAAACACAGAGGTGGTGGAATGGTGGGCCTTGCAGTATTTCAGCCTCTGCCATCTGAGCACAAGGCAGATTTGCATTTTACCTGGGATTTGTACCTCCTCTAGATTAAACCCATGTGATTTAGGCAAGAGAGTCCTAGACATGAACTTGGCAACGGAGTACACTGATAGCTGTGTCTCAAAACTCAGGGGTGCCCAGCTGCTCTTTGTCTTCCATAGCCACCAGTGTGGAAAAGCAGTGTTGATGTGGTTGTACTGACTAGAGTTCCACAGTGAATGGGGGGATCCTTTTGCATGGCAGATTGTGGTGCAGTTTAATTTTCTTGAGTTTCAGTCTGCTGCTGCACCTGTCAGCCCAGGATACTGCTCAGCCTTTTGATTCTGCAGGAGGTTCAGCAGGTCAGGTGTCTTTGGGAAATTACAAAGATAAATTCATGTTTGCCAACATGCAAACTCGCATGTTGTGAGGAGCTCTCCTTCCTCTGAAAGTTGCAGGGTGCAGGATGGAAACACTGACTTTGGGAACCTTATAATATCACAAGGCTGTAGAGACAGCAGTGGAACACCACACTTTTCAAAATCTGGGGGCAAAATGTCAGTTTCCAAGGACAGGTTGCTCTTTGTGTGCCACTCTCTGGGTGCACCACTGTGGCTTGCTCTGGCAGAGCTGCTTGCTCTGCGCAGGGGACAGGCGCACAGTGCACCGACATCGTTGTAAATCATGTGGCCTCCAAACGTTTTCTCAAAAAATGCAGACCTAGGGTAAGAGAAGACATAAAGAACTAGGGAAAACACATGTGTGCTAACATCTCTGCTGAATATTGTGATTTTAATAGCTGATCAGTTGCTAATGCATGCTTAAACTGCTCTATAATAGGGCATATTGAGAACGTCCCAGTTTTTCTAATTTTGGAGGGGTAAACCTCTGTATGGAGCTAGTAAATCAGAAGGAGAAATTTGTAAGATGAATTTTAAGACTAGCTTTGAAAAAGACTGCTTTAATTGAGAATCTGTGTTAGATTTGACAGTCTTCAGGAGTGAGATGCCATTTTGTTGACTTGCCTTTTCTTGACTTGCCTGTATTTTGCAATTCCACTTTACTCTAAAATTTTTTATGCTTCTGCAGAAAAAATGCAGGCAGAATTTTTAATATCTAGTGACACATGAATCTTCCTCAAGTCCAGAATTAAGCATAGTATAGAAGCTGTAATTCATGTTTTGATTCATTTAATTGCAGTGCTGGAAAATAAATGGCAAAATAAAAAGTCCTTTGTAATGTTCCCTACTTGAAGTAACTCTTGTTCTCCCCTCTCTTACTTGGAGCAATACCCTTAGGATATGAGAGTGTTTCTGTCCTGGCCTTGGGATCTTGCTGCACGTTTAAACTTTTTCTACTAAGACCCACCTAGTTTGTTTGGTTTGGTTTTGTGGCTTTTGTTTGGTTTGTTTGGGTTTATTTTTCCCATAGCCCCCAGAATTTTTTTAGCTTTCTGCTATTTTATAAAAACTGCTGAGTTTCTAGAGACTTACTGACATTATCAAGTACAGAAATGTTACAGAAGGGGAATATAGAGCAGCTGGGTTTTGGAGGTTGCCTTGTGCTGGGTTAGATACTTGCAAAGGAGTGGATGCTCTGCTGTGTCTCCTCAGGGCCTTGCACAGAGCTGCAGACCTCCTTGGGACTCACTAGTACACAAATATATTAACTGCAACTTAAAAATATTAACTACAATTTTGAGAAGATGCTCTGTGAATTTTTTATAATTCTCCCTTACAACAATCTCTTTTCCTGAATCTTCTTGTACTTTTTCCTCGTTATTTACTGTACCAACAGGAGTAGTTCCTCAAACACTGTGAGTTTTCTTATGTCAGTGATATCATCCATTGTGTAGTTCTCTGGCTTTTTCCTCTTTATCATAATTCTTATGCTCCTTATGCTGCCAAGGCTGGCCAGCCTATATCATGTCTAAAGGTACAGGAATCTGAGCCACTTTCAGATTTTATTTACTATTTTTAGAAATCTAGACATATTACTGCTTCAGTAAAAACTGACAGCTAGTAACTTTTCTTATTTCAGTGTGTCATTCCTTCTCATTTTTAAGCTTGAATGCCTGAAGTGGCAATTTACAACAAATTATCATATCCTGGTAAAAAATACTGTTAAATTCATTTATGAGAGGATGACAGAGGCCAATATGAGCTTCCTTTGTTTTGTGAGGGGGATATTTAGGGGGATTTCTGGAGGAGGTACTTCCATCTGTGCTGCAGATTACTTATCTGAGTAAGTTCAGGGGACTAGTAAGTTATGGAGAGTACACCCATAAAATCTGTCCTGCTGCAGACCTGATAAGAAATTGCAGAGGAATCTTGAAAAAAAACAAACAAACAGAGAAGGCTCTGGTATGTGTTGTGGAGAACATCACTGTGAAGAAGGTTTTGGTAATGGAGACTGGGTCTGTAAATGGATCATAGAGAGGGATAACTCTCCAATGTTCCCAATGCAGTTCTCTTGGATCCTGGGGAAATCCCAGGGGAACATTCCTAGGGGATATCTAAACACCCTTTTCCCCACAGAGTGGTTTGCATTGCTGCTGCCTCAGAGCGAGGGCTGGGATGGTTGGACATGGGGACCCTTATGAGCAGATTTCAGAAAGAGTGTGGGCATTGCAAGGGCACTTGTGTGAGGAATTTCACTGCCATTCAGAAAGGCATTCATAAATCATTTTTAACAAAGCAAATATTGTCTTGAGGGATCATGTGATTTTGTAGGAAAATCATATCTTCAATGTCTCTGAAAGCTTTATTTTCAACATTGAATCTTGAGAAGTATAGTTTACTAATGGCAAGAATATGTTATGAGACACTTAAAATGAAGACATGAAAGGAAAGAATGAAGATTTTTTTCCTAATGTGTCCTGAATGGAACAGCAACAGAAATATAATTAAAATTATAATTAATAAGGTCATAATAAATAACCTTATCTGTGCAGATCCTTCTTCCTTTTCCAATGTCTGACTTGTGAAATGAAGCAGGAAGCATGATGAAGGGTAGCTGTTACAAAAAAAAATTAAGGAGATTAAGGTTATTCCTGAATTGTAACAGCTGTTCATCATCTCATTACATTCTCCCTGTCATTTTTGCATGAATGGTTCTCCAAAAGCAATAATGAAGGATGCTCTAGATGCTGTGTGTCAGGGATGTTTTGTGCAAATAACCCATTGTTGGAGATATTTTTGTAAGATTTTCATGACACATGAGATTTAGCTCTGTTGTATACTGCAGTGACTGAAAAACAATACACAAACATACCACAAAACCAATATACAAACAATATAAAAATTCACATACTAAATTCCATAGGAAGTTTCCATAAGCATTTTTTATTACTGGTGCTTAAAGCTGTGCAGTTACAGTGTATTTGTACACCTGTGCTCTACTCTTTGCTTATGATACCACACATTGTCTCCAATCTTGCAGAGATGGGCAGGTGCAAGTCTGGGCTGATCTTGAAAATGGTCAGCTGGAAGGAAATTGCAAAGGGACAGATGTTCCTTCTGTCTGCCAGCATAATAGAACAGATAAAGATTCCATGTTATTTTTGGGGTTGTATTGCATTTTTCCTTTAAACCTTTGTTATGTTAAATGTATACAACTCTGTTAAAAGTTCTCCATTGAGATCTTAATCAACTAAAGTGTACTAAAGCTGTCCCTTGAAAATTCTCAATTTTTGCCTGCTTGTGTGATCAAGTTCTCCAAATGTCCATCTAGATGGCTGTCTCGAAGAACTGTAGCCGGTAGTCCTACTGCTAGAGGTGCTAAATTTGCATTTATGTGTAAATGTTATATTATTAACTGGGCCTAAATGATTGTATTAAGTGCTAATTGAGACTGTCCTTACCCTGGGATTATAATAGCCTCTAACTGAGTTATCTCAAAAAAACAAGTATCAAGAGCAGTGCACTTGACTTCCTCTATTGTCAACATGGTTAGATCATGTGAGAGCTATTCCTGATAAATTGCTAATTGTGGTTTACTTACTGAACAAAAGCTTATATTACAGAGATCAATGGCAATGTGTACTGTAATTTGTTTCCTGACTTATTTCTTTGTAAGGTCAGGACCTGAATTGGGAATGATGTGAACTGACACTTTAGGCAAATACTCACTGACTTTGACTTCAGTCAAGGTCATGCTACTTCTTGTAGTTAAAAGCATTGCAGCTACCTCACCAGATTTCAATGACCCTTTTGAAGTGATCAAAAACAGTTATGTTGACAATGCAAGCCATGCCACTTGTTGATATTACTAATCTTTTATGTACTTGACTCATATTTGAAATGCTCTTATTTCTGTGACTTGCTTTACAAACTCAAATTGCTCCCCACTACCCAAACTTTGAGTTCTCCCCTTTTGTAACTTCTTCTCTGCTCATTTATTCCTATCTTTACATTGTCTTTATTTCCTTGCTGCAAATTTCCATTTTTTTTCCTCAATGTCCCAAGTTCTTCTAGTTGTGCCTCACATGTTATGCAGGGCTGCCATAGAATCACAGAATCTTTGAATGATTTGGGTTGGAAGGAGCCTTAGAGATATCCCATTCCAACCCCCTAGCCATGCCAGTGGGAGGCTGCACAAACATGTGCTTGAGAATTGTTACTTCTTTCCTGCTGTGCACAGGAACATCTTCCACTAGACCAGATTGCTCAGACCCTCATCCAGCTTGACCCTGAGCACTGCCAGGGATGGGACAAACTGTGCCAAGGCCTCATCATCCTCTGTGTAAAAAATGTCTGCCTTATGTCCAACCTAAATCTACCCTCTTTTAGTTTAAAGCCATTGTCCCTTGTCCTATCACCACTGGCCCTGCCAAAAAGTTTGTCCCCATCTTTTTTATAAGCTCCCTTTAAGTAAAAAAGGGCAAAAAAAGTCTCTGTTGTAAGAGGCGATAGTGTTTCAGATCATTGGAGGTTTTCTTCAGTTTTCTGGACGAGTTCCAGACTTCTCTCATGAGTTTTCAATTCAGTATATATGCAAAGCCAAGGCTTCTCCTGGTATTTATGAGCTACCTCCAGATGAAGCAGAAATTGTGGAATCACAGTTCTATGACAAACACAGTACTAATAACCATATATTGCTGTAAATGTACAGACTATCAAACAATTTTAGAGGTTAAGTCCTCAGGATAGAGCAATGAAAATTTGAATGTGAAGTTGAAAAAGAAAGTTTAGGTATGTGATTGAACTCCTTACCCTGAAGACATTAACACCTGGTAAAGCTATGTAGAAGCTCTAGTGATAAAAATCACACTGAATTATTAAGTTTGTATTTAAAAGTTCATAGGTACATAGGATAATTCTGTGTAATCCTTTCTCTAAAATGGTGTGATTAATAATATTTTTGTATGAGTTGCTGAAAATATCTACCACTGAAGGTGCTTTTATTTCCTAAAGGAAACAATTTTAAAGTTAAGTAATTAAAGCGGCAAAGATTCTTCCTGAAAAGAGTATTCCCTGATAAACCCTATTTTTAATTCTTCTTGCAGAATTCCTAAATGAATGGAAAATATTTATGATTTATTATAACAAACAACTTGCTCTCCAAACAAGGAAATTACAAAGCAGGAAGTCTGCTCATTGTTGCATGTCTTCAAATAAGATCTAATCAGACAAAAAAATTATGTAGTTTTGCACTAAGAATATAGAATATTTCATCTTTTTCTTTATAGACAGTAAATTCTTGAGTGATTTTTTTTTTTTCTTTTTAGGGTATATTTGACAGTGACTGGTACACTTCCTGCAGGCTCATTGGAGGAGCTGATATTATTGTGATTAAATACTCTGTCAATGACAAGACTTCATTTCAAGAACTAAAGGACAGCTATGTGCCAATGGTAAAAAAAGCACTAAATCACTGCTCAGTTCCAGTAATAATTTCTGCTATTGGAGCAAGAAAAAACGGTATGTATCCAGCCTCCTGTAACAACAGATAAAAGCTCATTTGGAAGTTGGGGATAGTGAAATTTCAGTAGAAGCTGCTAACAGAAACAATTAGTCTGTCAGCATGACAGTAGTATGCACATGTATTTTGGCTCTCTAGACTGGTGTGCTGGCAAGAACACTGTGCTTAATTAACCCCAATGATGAAAGGCAACCTATCCTTCTTTGACCTCTGCAATGACTCTTTTGTGGAGCCATCACACACAAGGATTAAATCTAGTAATTTGAATTAAGCAACATACATTTGGGTATAAAGTATCTCTAGTGTATGAGATTAAAATTATGTCCAGCATTCTGAAAGCACTGGAGAGAGGGTGGGAAAAGCCTTGAAATTCCCTGGGATTTTTTTTCCTAAAACAATGAATGAAAACCACAACCCTGGCTTGTCTTTTACTTCATGATACTTTACTAAAACAAATGTTTCTGAGCATCCCTCATTTTAATGAGTAAGGGATATGATGAATGTAAATGTAGACATTTCTTTTGTACTGTACATAGAAATATTAATCCATATGAAGTATGTCTTCTGTGGATGGAATGCTCAGTGTTGTTATGGTCTACTTATAAACCTTTTAGCTCAGTGACAGATACAGGACAGTTAAAGAGCTGCATAACAGTTAAATATTTACTTTTTTCCATTTAGTAATTCAGTGATCATGACCAAAAGCTTTCATGCTCTGATTTATACAGGAGTAATAAATCTCCCATTCTAAAGGCAAGGTCTTGTTAAATTGTTTGTATTCCCCAGCATTTCCTTACATTTTGTGTTTAAGAATAGGATATCACAAATGGAGTGACTCCTCTAGTGGTCATTTTTTCTTTTCCACTTAGTTTTTTTCTGTCTTCCTCCCTAAGTAATGTGGCCATGAGAGACATCAGACTGGACCTCTGGGTTTACTCTGGGACCTGTCAGAGCAAACTGCTGTGCACACACAGAACCCTTTTGTTTCTAGGAGGTATTTGTGAACACAGCAGTTTGCTCATACAGATTACTAAGATCTTAATCCTCTGTAGTGATAAATGTTGCTGCCAAAACAAATGATTTAAAAACACCAGAAAAAGGTGTTTTGTTATGTTATCCATAGGTCTAGGCAGACGACATTAGTGTGGAGCATGCACAGCACATTTGAAAGCACATCCATGGTTGGCGCAATCTTAGTGTCATTTAGCAAAGCTGACCCAGTGTGGCTAGAAGATTTTTAACATTTAAATGTCATAATCTTAAAAGTACCTATTTTGTTGTTGGGTTGTTTTTTTTTTTTCCTAATGTATGTGAAATACATGTAAATGAATCAGATGCTGCCATATGTACAAACCCATCAAAGGTTGGTCTGGAGTGGAAATTTTCTTCTTTCACTTCTGTGTCCTGCATTGACAGGCCACAATAATTCAACAGGTTTAAGGGTGACATTCATGAATGATAACACCTGCAGGCTAGTACAAGACCTGGGCATGAATAGGTATTGATTCAAAGCCATATAAGTCTGGCTGAACTCTTCCACCTTAACCAAATCAATAAAGTAATGCTAATGTAATGTATATAGAGGTTTGTAGAGTGACTAGTGTTTTGAATTGATTAATATGAAGTTGAGGTTTTTTCTGTCATTACAGATTTCTTACTATAAAATTCCTGTGTTTTCATTTCCCTCTTTGCTCTCCTCTGAGTAGGATACCTTTACAGTTATTTAGGAACCTAAGAATTCTGCATTGTTTGGCCAAAATGGTTTTCATCACTTTTTACCCCAGGAGTGCCTTGCACCTGTCCCCTGTGCACTTCAGACAGGAGGAGCTGTGTCACAACCTCTGAAGGAGTTCAGCTTGCAAAGGAACTTGGAGCCACTTACCTTGAACTGCACACTCTTAATGACTTCTACATCCAGAAATACTTTGGAGGAGTGGTGAGTGACAATCTGCAGTTTTGGAAACAGGGTGGAACATGCATGAGGTGAATGACTGATGTGAGGGCTTCAGAGAGCCAGAGGAGGTACACCATGGGCCCTTCCACCAAGTGCCAAGTTCCCACCAATCCAAAATTCAAGTTAGATATTAGAAACAAATTCTTCACAGTGAGGGTGGTCAGACAGTGGAACAGAACGGTCTGGGGGGCTGAGTGCCCCATTCTTGGCAGTGTTCTTGTCTGGGTTGGAAGGGTCTTGGAGCAATCTGATCTGTGGAAAGTGTCCCTACCCATGGCAGGTGGATTGGAATTCAATGGTCTTCAAGGTCCTTTCCAAGCCAAACCATTCTAGGATTCTATGAGTCTATGATGCTGTCTGAATTAGCAGTACCAAGATTGCTCTGGTTTTAAGTAGAAAGATTTAGGAAAGCTATCTGATGCACTGCAGTAAGTTTTCCACTTGTACTCTTGTCCTTTTATCTTCCTGACTAACACCCAGCTGAATGAGACTACTCCCCAAGATACAATGAGCATCTAAAGAGGTTGGTAAATTGAATATCTTTGTGTCTGTCAGTTTTAGGAAGATTAAATACACAAGCATTTGAATAAATAGTCTTTTAAATTGTGCTAGCTCTATCTAAATATGGTAGCTTCTCGGAAATGAGTTTTGGGACTCTCCTGGATGACTGAAGAGTGTCAGCAGCTTGAGCCCTGCATACAGAATCTGTTATACCCCTTAATTTGATGTATAGGTTGTTATTAAATAACAAGGTTTTAAAAATATATATATTTCTTGTCTTAGCTGGAATATTTTATGATCCAAAGTTTGAATCAGAAGTCATCTCAAAAAATGAAGAAAAGGAAAAAGACGCAGAAGTGCCATCGAGTCCAACCACCTCAGCTTGAGCAGCCAGGTGCTCTTTGATATCTGGCCTGTAGTATAATTCCTTATGTGTGTCACTTTCTTTGCACAATTAATATTTTTTACTACATTTTTAGTAACAGTTGTTACTATGAGCTGTGCTATCTCTTGTCAGCAATTCTGGTTATATTGCATCACCTTTTAGTGATAGTTTAATTTACTTGGGGAGAATTGTATGGCAATCTGTAACAGCACAATGGATTTCTAGTTTATTTTAGACATAACTAATAGGAATTGTTTTCTGGTGGACTTATGAAAACATGAATTGATAAAAGCTTTCCATAAAATCTTAACAGACAGATTACAAAAGGAAGTTCTTAGAGCATGAATTATTATTCCACAGTATAATCAAATAGTGTTTTTGTTTGCTGAAGATAAAGCAAAGGAGAGAAGTACACACCTTTATGAGATTTCTGAGCATTTGATGCATTTGTTCAGTGAAAAAATTACTGACAAGTTACCTATAAATCTGTAGTTGTCTCTTCTTCCATGTTCTAAAAAGTTTGCTCAGACCTCCTAGATTTGGAATACACAGTCAAAGTTTCTTTATAGAGTAACTTTCTATAGAGGCTTCATGAAAGGATAGACATTTCCATTAAACTGTGTCTTAACTTACTATACTAAACGTTTCCATTTTTAGAGTATTTTACTCAAGATACTTAAACAGCATACAGGAAATATTCTTACTGAATATCTCTTTTAAAAATTAAACTGACCTCATAAGGTCAGTTGTCCTGTGGTTAGCACTTGCTAAGATTGTAAAATTTTGGTTTTACAGCCTGACTTCTTTTGCAGAAAAGATGCCGATCCTGAAGGGCGAAGCTTCGCACTACAACGCAGACCTGTACAACCTGCTCTGCTGCTGCCAGTGTGCAGATGTGGCCTTCTACCCTGAGGACCTCAGCACAGCAGTGGAGGCTCACAAGATCATCCTCTGCTCTGTCAGCCACCTCTTCATGTTGCTCTTTGGGGTGAAGAGACCATCTGATGCCCACGATGCCTCCACCGTGCAGCTGGCACAGAGCCTCTTTGTGGTGGAGGCGGGTGATCCCTTCCCCTCCTCCCCCCGTGGTGTCCCACCCTGTGTCCCACCAGTCAGGGTGGTGGTGAAGGATTCTGTCTTCTGCTCTTGTCTCCCGGACATCCTCCACTTCATTTATTCAGGTACCCACTGGGAACAGATCTGACAATGTATTTCCTATTGTCTCATGAAGGAATATGTGCATCACCTTAATGAACCTGGCTTTGCTGTTGCTAGATGATGTCTCACCTTGTTTCCACACATATTTTATCCCTTGTGATTATTATACACAATGAAAAACACCATCACCTGTAACAAAAAATAGGTTAGTTGTCATTCCAGATTTAATGGGCCTAAATTAAATTAGTCCATAGGCTAACATCAATAACATTCAAAATTTTGCCCAAAAAATGGAGTTTGAGTCATTTTCAGATCCTAGGCTTTTAAAATATTGTAAATGGTTGCATGTTCTATACACAAGAGTGCAGAGTTACTTTTGAAAACTCAAGTAATTTTTATTCTGAGTATGGTGCAGCTGAAGAGTATGGTTGATGCCCTGTGGGCTCCCAGGACAAGTGAAGAGACACAAATCTTGACTCCATGTTTCAGAAGGCTGATTTATTATATTATGATATATATTATATTAAAATGCTATACTAAAAGAACAGAGAGAAAAGGATCCATCAGAAGGCTAGAAAGAACAGGAGAGAAATGATAACAAAAGCTCCTGTCTCTCAGAGAGTCCAAGCCAGCTGACTGTGATTGGCCATTAATTAGAAACAACCAGCATGCACCAATCATAGATGCACCTGTTGCATTCCACAGCAGCAGACAATTATTGTTTACATTTCTTTCCTGAGGCTCCTCAGCTTCTCAGGAGAAAAATCCTAGCAAAGGATTTTTCATAAAATATTATGGCTACAAAGAGAAAACAGTGATAAGTGGCTGGAGTGTAGAAACCTCTGTGTGTTGCATGAATTTGCTACCAGCTGGTACAGACTGTGACCTCACCTACCTAATGCCAGCTATCAAAATGGCAATGATATTTTTTTAACTTCTCAGATGTTGCTTAGGAATCCTCAGCAGAAATATTTGGGGTTTTTTTTTGGTTTGTTTTTTTTTTTTTGTTTTTTTTTTTTTTGTTTTTTTGTTTTTTTTTATTCCACAGCAGCAGACAATTATTGTTTACATTTCTTTCCTGAGGCTCCTCAGCTTCTCAGGAGAAAAATCCTAGCAAAGGATTTTTCATAAAATATTATGGCTACAAAGAGAAAACAGTGATAAGTGGCTGGAGTGTAGAAACCTCTGTGTGTTGCATGAATTTGCTACCAGCTGGTACAGACTGTGACCTCACCTACCTAATGCCAGCTATCAAAATGGCAATGATATTTTTTTAACTTCTCAGATGTTGCTTAGGAATCCTCAGCAGAAATATTTGGGGTTTTTTTTTGGTTTGTTTTTTTTTTTTTGTTTTTTTTTTTTTTTTTTTTTTTTTTTTTTTTTTTTTTTGTTTTTTTGGTTTTTTTTTCCTGGAAGTAGCCAATGCCTGTTTGTTCTTCATAAAATGTTTTTCAACTTGTCAGAGAATCTTTCAGCTTTCAGTTGGAGTTTGTACATCAAAGACAGTTCTTTCCAAAATAGTAACAAACAAAAAACAGATGAAGAAGTTTTTCATTAAAAAAATCCTTGAATATATATATTTTTTTTGTTCTTATTTATTTGAGACAAGGATATGGGATTAAAACTGGATTTTCAGCAGGTGATGGATAAATACAGTACTTTTAATTCATATAATAATTTAATAATTTGGGTTGGAAAAGACCTTTAAGATTATCAAGTCCAACCACTTACCCATCACTGCCAAGCCCATCACTTAAACCATGTCCGCAGGTGCCACACCTTTGAAGTGCCTTCAGGGATGGTGATCCTACCACTGCCTTGGGCACCTTGTTCCATTGCTTGACAGCCCTTTAGGTGAAGAAATTTTCCTGATATTGAATCTAAACCTCCCCTGGTGCAACTTGAGGTTGTTTCCCCTTGCTCTGTACTTATTGCCTGGGAGAAGAGACTGTCCCAGCCTGGCTACAACCTCCTCCCAGGCAGTTGAAGAGAGCAATAAATTCACCCCTGAGCCTCGCTTCCTCCCGTCTGAACATCTTTTTAAACATCTTCATCTGTTACCATCTACAGCTTGGGTCTAATGCCTTGTGTGCACTAATTTTCCTATTTTACTTTCCTTTATGTCAGCCAAGGAGCTGTGAAACTGCTGTTGCAGGCAGAACTCTGCTTTACTCTCAGCTTGCAGCCTGAGGGTCATTGTGGCTTTTGGTGCCCCTGAGAGGGCAAGGTGCTTGAGGTACAGACTGAGAAGAGAACAAATCATGAGTTTTCAGATTTTCAGGACATGATGCCCATGAGGTTATAAACCCTTAACCAGTGTAGTATAGATGGGAGATAATTGAGCTGAGGATGCTGTGTGCTGTAGGGGCTGATTGAGCCTCTCAACAGCAGAGCATCTTCAGGGCTGTGCTGCTTTGGGCTTGTCACTGAGCTTGATCTATTTCTGTCTCCTCCTTGTCCTGGGTGTCATGGTTTGAGGATGGCACAATGCCAGTGCTTCCATGAAAATATACTTTCTCTAGTGGCTCTTGTGAGATGTGATTAGGAACAGAGCAAAGCAGGCTCCAACTTAGGAATAAAGGAAACAAACTTTATTAACTACAACATCTAAAAAGGAAGAGACATAGAACTCAGAATGAAAACCCTCCAAATACATTCCTCCTCTTCCCCCCCATTTCCTCCACAGCATGAAAAAAAACCTTAGATTTCCACCCCGTCACCATTTTTCAGATAATCAACTTTCAGTCCATCATCACCCCTCCAATAATCAACCCTCAAGTCCATCAGGGAGAGAGAAGTCCCCCCTTGCACCATAGGCTTCCCCCAGAAACACAGTTGAAACCTCCTGTGTTTCCATGTCACTCGTGGCGCTGCCTGGAGAACATCTGCCTTCGTGACTTCTTCCCTCCATGAGCAGTGCTCTCACCACTGCACCTGGACCAGAACTGCTTTTAGGGCTCCCCGTTTAAGGATGCTCCACCCAGTACCAAAAGCAGCAGTCTCTCAACTTCGGGACACCAGTCCCCCTCCCCAAATTTACCCCCTGGGGCCGAGGGGCCTTGTGAACAGAGATTTTCCTCTTCACTGAAGACAGAGGGCATCCCACACCCTCCTCAGCTGTCTCTGTTCACGCCACTGCTTCTCCACTCTCTCTTGGCTTCAAGGCATTGCCTCCCCCTAAACACAGTCTCTGGGTCACAGGAAAAACATGGGTCTGTCCATGGCCATACAAGAAAAGAGTCCAGCCCAAGGCCACCCCATCATCTCCTCCCACCTAGAATTCTTCCCACCTCTTTGGACATCTCTCACTTGCACCCACTTTCATCACACTTGCCCATCTCCTCTTGCTTCATCTCTCTCTCCTCATTCTGATTCAGGAGGATCATTATTTGTAAAGTTTCTATTAGTCTAGAAAGGGATTAACATCTTCGCCTCTGTCTGGCCACAACCTCCCAAAAAATTCACTTCCTTCTTAATCTACAACACTGGGTTAGAACTGAAAGTTACCACAAAGCCCTGTGGTGCCTCTGAGACTTTCTCCAGCAAAGTGCATGAGGACAAACTATCTTTGTTTTTACTCTCTTCATTTTTCCAAGAAAGCTATGGAGACACGTCAGTGAATGTCATGGCTTTGACTGAGAAAACAAGAATGACGGAAATTCTACTGCAAACCTTGTACTGATTTTAACTATGAGGACTGAGGATGTAAATGTGCATTAAGTTTTTCTAGTTCAGACATCTACAGAACAATGCAGCCAGCAGCACGGGCAGAAGCTAAAAAAATTCCACAAATGTTGAAACATTAAGGATTTTTTTTCCCTGAATCCCTACCTGCAATATGTAGTGACTGAACTACAGGAAATTAATACATTGAGTGTGAAAGCAAGATGCTCTAGTCATTTGGTACTTGGTTGCACTATAAAAAGTACCATGGAAATTTAATGTGCAAAAATTGCATTGTGCCCCTCCTAAAAGCAAAGGTCTGGCTGATTTATGTGCAAACCCCCATTTCTGTAGTGTGTGTTTGGTATTGATGTAATCTTTCCTCTGCCTGCTGAGGCCTGTGCCTTGCTGATTTATAATCTGTCTCCCCTGGTTTTGTGATAGGTGCTTTCCAGTGGGAACGATTAGAAGAGGACATAAGAAAGAAGCTGAAGGATCCAGATAAAACAGAACATGTGCTTGAGAAAGTTAAATGCATCCTGAAAACTCCAGGGAAGGTACATGTAACTCCCTTGGGTCACCATTAGTTCCTTAAGTTTTTGAGAAATTGCAAGGTTTTCTTGTCAGTCTTTTTAAGTCACTTTGGATTAAACAGCCTGTACTTTTTCATGCTTTCAGTGGGTCGTTTGCAGGCACATACACAGAGATCCTGATGTAACATGCAGAATGAATGTAATTGGTAAAAACCACACAAGCAGGTATTTTAAAAGGATTACTCATGAAGAAGTGTGTTTCCTGGGCTGTCGGGGTCCACTCCGGCTAGCTATAGACCCTTGCCCACACGATACTTCATAGATGAAGGTAAAAGATTGAGAAGTGCTCTCCTCCACGTGCAAAACATTGTCCTTTATTCCAAGACACACATCAGGCGGACAAACCCATGGGAGAAAAGATGTTCCCTGGTGGCAGGGAGCTTTTATTCCCCCCGGGATGGGGACAGAGGGAGAGGTCCACAGCCAATGGGATACCAGTGAGGAGTGGTGAGGGGAGGGGTAACCCAGGGGAGGGACCACCAGGTGGTACTGGGATAGGTGAGGGAAAGACCATGTGACAGAGAAAAGGGGTAACAAAACACATAATGTAACATAAGCTATACAGTGCAATATAAAACTGTTCTGTGCAAATTCCCAATCACCCAGTGCAACAGAACAACTAAACTGGTGCACCACAACACCCTCATATTCACAGCTTTGAACATTGTCTGGCAATATGATTATGGATTGCTAATTCCCATGTAATAGAGGCTGCCCAGGAAAAATTTGCTCCTGGACATAAGCCAAAAGTTGGTCTTCTGCAGTAGAGCCAGAGTGGTGGTTTCTCTTGTAAATGCTGTGATGTGGAAAGCTGTCTGTAACTCAATATATTTAATTCAGTAGAAGACCACAGAAAAAAATGTAACATATTATTAAGTTAATAAAAAGTCACACTGTACAATTAGTTTTAATATAGAATTGGTTTTTACTTTTTTCTTGGAGCATATACATTCCCTGACAATATAGAACTTACTCTAATGATTTCTGTTGAGATAAAAGGGAAAACCTCTCAGATTCTCTTGAAACAATACAATATAGACATCAAAAAGACACTGAACTCTTTTCAGTTTATGACTGCTCTTTCTTAGGCTTACCAGCCCTTAGTGCCCACAGCTAAAACATTTGTAGGTTTGGCCTTGGAGAGCCTGAAGACTTTTAAGACAGTGAGCCTGAGCTGTTGTAATTTCTTTTATTCTTTTCTTATGCCTTCAGCATATTCTTATTTCCCATTTAAGCATTTTTCTTTGCAGGCCAAAAAGAAGGAATCATGATTTTTCTTAGTAAAACTAAAAAAACTATAAATTTAACGTTTTAACCATAAATCCAACCTCATCTGAATTTCACTTGTCACAATCTAGCATCACAATTTTAATATTGTTCCTTTTAGCAACTTTAGATTACACTTTTAAGGTAAGTAAACCAAAATTGAAAACTAACTGGGAGTACTGGGTTTTGGAGGGTCTTGACACTACCAGGTTATTGTAAGAGGAGTGTGTGCTCCAGCCTGTGAGCTCCCCCTGCCTCTGGGAGGCAATTCCAGGGTAATATAAACACGGAACTTCCAGCTGCCTTGTGCCTGTACATGGCATCGCACTGCAGGGTGGATGTGTGCCCCATCCCTGCTCTCCACAGAGCCCTCAAACCTCGTTTTGCTGCAGCATTGGGTCTGCACAGGGAATGTGTGCAAAGGTTTGGACTCCAGAAAACCGATGAAGCCCAACCTGCCTGTAGGGGCTGGATGGGGGAGTTTCATCAGAGGTCAAGAATACCAAGGAGAGAGCTGAGGTGTGACTGTGGGTGACAAGAGATCCCTCAGAGCTGCTGAGGAATTCACTGCAGGGAATAGGACATTAGAAGATAAAAGGTGATTGCAGAGGAATGCACATGCCAGAAGCTGTTGTTTATTTTCTCATATAAATGATGCCCCATAATATTTAGTTCTGTGTGCAGGCACACATGACAATGCTTTATTACCAATTTATTTTTCAGCTAAACACTATAAAAGACTGCAAGTCTCACCAGATAAAACAGCTCTATAATACTTCTCTCAGGCTATTCTTTAACACACCTGTGCTGGCTGATGTAATCTTCAAAATACAAGGTACAGTACCTCTGTTCCCTTGGTCTCAAGCCTCTACTCTTTTTCTCCTCTTCAAGAATGTGGGACATAGAGGTTTTCATGTTCCATGGCATCAAAATTAAGGAAATATGTGTGCTTTGCTCTCACTGCAGAAAGCAGGGAAAGCTTGTGGATGCCCTGTAGCGGTGTCCACTCCCAGCATGATCCATCTGGGCTGAGCCTATAGGAATTCCCTCTCCCTGTTATGGCCCACTGTGCCTCCCTGATTTACATTATTTTTATTCTGTTTTATTCTACTTTGTTTTGCGGGTTTGGTTGGTGTTTTTTGGTTTTTTTGTTTGTTTTTTTTGTTTGTTTTTGTTTTTGTTTTTTTGTTTTGTTGGGTTTTTTATTTTATTTTAATTTATCTCACTCCTGTTCCCAGCTGCACAAGCATTAAGGCATACTCAAGGGCGCTGCCTAACATCACACCATGAAGAAGCATGAGGTTCATCTCTATGCTTGTTGCTCTCAGTGAAAAGAGCAGAGATGGTGGTTATTGGCTCCTGGCCAATATCCCCCTGTCCATCTCAGGTGGGTGCTGGCTGTGGAAGCACATGCCTTGTACCCCAGAAGCTGACAGGGACTGGCTTCACTGTCCTTGCCACCAGGGCTTGGTGACCTGCAGAAGTGGTGCCACTGACACCCACTACATTTTACTGCCTGATGTGCTGCAGTGTCAGGATTCAATATTTTGTCTGGAAATTAAATGTTCTCATTGTTACAATGAAAGATGCAGATTGAGAAATGTGCTGCATGCTTTTGTAAAAATAAGAATGAGATGGTTTTTAAAAGCTAACACTATTCTCTGTCTGTCCCTACTTACCTTTCATGCAGAAATGGTCTTCTAGAATTAGATAATTATTTTCAGAGATATATCTCAGGGACAAATATGAACCATTAGCTCCTCAAACATAAACACAGAAGGACAAGCAGACTCTTTCTAGATGTTCTGTTTAACACACAGAAAATACTCCACAAAAAATATCATTGTAAAGGAGAGGAAAATACTGATTTTGAGCTCAATGACATGAACAATTCACCTCAGTGTCCCATTCCTGAGAGAGTCTTTGTGGGAAGCTGATAAAACAGAACAACATTATGTATTTTACAGAAATAAAACCAAAATCTCTGAATGGGTTGACAAGTGTTTTAAAAAAGCATGCTTATCCACTAATAAAATGTGAACTGTTTTTCCTAATAATTGATACATCCTTCCAAATTTTTTTCTCAAATTCATCAATCAGAGTAACTGCATCAAAATTAATTAACTACTAAGAGAAATTTACAGCCCAAATCTTAACCAGACAAGCACATTTGTAAGTTTTTGAGCAATTCCTCGGATACTTAGCTTTGCTTTGAGCTTTCTAGCTTACAGAAGCCAGGAAAAATTTGAGCCCATTGTGTCTGTGTAAAGACACAGAACTTGACTGAACATCTTAATTAGTAGATAAATGTCCATTCAAAAGCACATACAGGACATATAGCATGCAGCTTAGACATTTTGAAAGTAGAAGTGCAGGGGGTAGAAACAGACAAAAAAAAAGACAAAAAACGCCAGAAGCCTTCAAAGAATTACTCAGGTGCCAATGTTGTGGTCAAAGACATAATTAAAACAGTAACTTCTTTGTAAGTATATACAATATATTGCATGTGAGTTGATCTATTTATTATAATTTTGATTAAAACATTTACATCCAACTCTAAATGCTCATTTTAGTTTTGGTTGCTGTCCTGACTGGCACTTGCTTGACACTTCCTTGCATACTGAGCTGGACTGCCCAGTCCAGCTGGACTTTGCATCCTCAAGAGCCTCTACCCCCCTGGGCTTTTGGCCTGTCCAGGTCTTCCAAAAGCTGTAGTAAAGCAAAGGGTTCACTTGCAAATGATAGAAAATTAATCAATTTCTGGAAAAAAAATCATCAGTGTTGTTTTTCATAAGACAGCCATTCAGGAAATCCACTTAGGCACAGTATTTAATCTAGTTAAATTTTTACTTACTTACTGGACTTAATGGAATTTTTTATATTTATTTTATTCTCAGTTGGTTTAGTCTATTGCATTTTGGCTTAAATAATTTTTGTTTGTTGATTTTGTTTTATTTTACTATTCATTATTCATCTTAACTAGTATGCATACTTAACTAGTATGTTGAAAATGTCAACTTTCAACACTTTAATCATGTTCAGTGGGGTGAAGACCTTCTAAGAAGACATGAGCTTTAAAATGAAGATCTTTCTGTGTTATATGAAGTCACTGTATGTTTATTTTTTGTCTTGCATCCTACAGGTGCAACTGTACCAGCCCACAGGGCAGTTCTGGTGGCTCGCTGTGAGGTTATGGCAGCTATGTTTAATGGTAATTATCTAGAAGCAAATAGCATTCTGGTTCCAGTGTATGGGGTTTCCAAAGACACTTTCCTGTCCTTCCTAGAGTACCTTTACACTGACTCCTGCTGCCCAGGTAAGGAGACTGTAAAATCCATTTTTATATCTCTAATTCATTTTTCCATAGCAGAGCATTGATAGAGAGTAATGTAGTAGCACCTATTTAATTGAAAAATGCTAATATTTGAATGTGCAATGTCTCGAGGAAGATAACTTTTTTATATTGTGCAATAAAAAAAGAAATCCGTCCTATACAAGTAAAATAGAAGAACTATTTCTAATAAAATTATTTATTTGCTTTGTGCTCACATAACAAGACTCAGGTTTTAATTTAATTTCGGATGCATTATAATACTTGTAATTTTTTTTTTTATGTTACAGTAATATTGCTTTCTAGTCTGGATTCTGTGTTATATTTAAAAGCTGTCACTTCTTGAACACGCATATAGCTGAGCATGTTATAAACAAGGTTAAATTGCAGCATTACCTTATTTATACACATGGTTATCTTATGTGTATATAAACCCAGAAACTATGCCAACAGGAGTGTTTGGCAAGAAAAATTGAGTTAAAATATTCTTTACTTCTCAATCTTTATCTTTCTTATGAGAAGAAAATCTGAATACTAAATCTAAAGCATGATTTAAATGTAGCTAATTTTTCCTTGATATAATGAATAAATGATACTGTGATATGTATTTTTGCTTCTGTTTTCTTTTGAAATAATTATTCTACCTTATTCTTAGATATTCCATGTTTCTCTTTTCACTCCACCTAACATTTCCTTGTTTATCAGTTTAAAAATGCAACTACTGTGCTATATTTAAAAAAAAAAAAAGTTGCTCTTTTTTTTGTCCTTGGACTTTTTTTTTTTTTTTTTTGCTATATTTTCTTATATCATAAAAGTGCTTTTCTGAAAGAGAACTTAGCTAAATCCACTTACTAATTCTCTAAATAGATCAGCAGCATTTGGCTCATCATCTTCAAGATCCATGATATTGACAGCAATTCGTTATACCCATCTGCCAAAAAGTTCTAAACATATTTTTTCTTCTTAATTGAATAGCTTATCTGGAAAAATAAGGTGATACAGCAAACAAAAATGTATAATAATAAAAAAATAAAACAAGGTGATCACAGCAGTCTGATTTTGTGTTTGTTGTTAGGTATTTAAAATTCAACTTGGTGAAAAATAGCTTCGATCATCTTATCAAAAAGGTAAAATACACGTAACTTGTGTCTCCTTGTTTTTTAGCCAGTATTCTCCAAGCGATGTCTCTGCTGATCTGTGCAGAGATGTACCAAGTAATGAGACTCCAGCATATTTGTGAACTTTACATCATCACGCAGCTTCAGAGCATGCCTAGCAGGGAGCTGGCTTCCACAAGTCTCAATATTGTCAGCTTGCTCAAAAAAGCTAAGGTATTATTGTACATGTCAAATGAGAATATATATGTTGACTTTAATAAGTTGTTTTAAAAATTGTAAAAATATTAAGAGCAATTTCTGTTCCCAAGGAAACATGTTGGTATAAAATCTGTTTATTAGGGATAATTGGTGAAACAAGGGTGGTCAGAAGAAATCCTTCAGCCTTTAATTGCCAAATGTGCAGTCACAGAATCACAGAATTGCCTCTATCAATGTACCCAAGCCTGCTCCAGCACTTGACAACCTTTACCACGAAGAAATTTTTCCTACTGTTCAACCTAAACCTCCCTGGCACAACATGAGGCTATTTCCTCTAGTCATGTCACTTTTTATCTGGGAGCAGAGACTGTCCACAACCCCTGCCTGTCCACAACCTCCTTTCAGGGAGTTGTAGAGAGTCATAAGGTCACCCAGAGCCTCTTTCTTTTCCAGGATAAAAACCCCCACCTCCTTCAGCTGCTCCCCATAAGATTTGGGCTCCAGACCCTGTAGTCACAGCCTCATCTGTGTAATTTGTTTTATAATGGACACACTGCATAGAATATTGAGAGAAATGCATAAAAGCATGAAAAGAAAAGATAAGAGGCTGAAAAAAAAAGAGACACAATAAAGGCAGGGTTGGAAAATAGAAGAGGAGAATAAAAACTAGATTGCAGGATATTGCCTTAATCAAATAGGATTTTCTGCAGAAAGAGGAGACCACAAAACCAATATGCCACATTCCTTCCCTCCATTCCGTTGAAGCTCTACCTCTGTGCAGATGTCAAAATTTCCAAGATTCATGACACCTTAGGGTTTTTTATTTCCTCTGGGAGAGGAACTTTGTTAATTTGTTCTTGGGTGTTCACCTGTTTACATATTTCTGCTAAATGACTTTTCCTTCATTATCTTCCATAGTCAAAACTTTATTTAGTAAATTACATAACAGTGGAAGCCAGAAATATTTTTACAGGTGAGAAGTGGTTATGTTTTAGACGTGATAGCATTAAGCAGCCTTTTGTCTTTTCTTTCTTCCCGCAGTTTCACAATTCTGATTGCCTTTCAACTTGGCTACTTCATTTTATTGCCACTAACTACCTCATCTTCAGTCAAAAGCCTGAATTTCAAGAACTTTCAGGTATTTTTCTGTTCATTTTGAAGATATAAATGTTTTTATATTTTGCTGAGATGAAAAGTGATGTTCTGGATAACACCATTTTTGCACGAGAAAATAATTAGGGTTTCTTTAGGATATTCCAGCAGGATATTTCACCATGCTGCTGTGGGATGAGCACACAACATGACACAGCCAGCACTGCATCACTATTTGTATGGTTCCTATTGGGATGGCCAGGTTCTCACCCATAACTGAATTTGCTGGAACAGTTTGGTCATTGTATGTCAGCCCCTTCATGTTATCTTGCTAATTTAAATCAAGGTAATGGGTCATTTTTGATACTTCTTCAAGTGCTGGGGTTTTCCTTTAATAAAATAGGATTCTTATAGTATGCTCCAGCAGATCTTATAAAATGAAAAAGTGATGGCCCATTCAAGTAAATAAATCCAGCTTCTTCCAGGGACCTAATATTTATTTTTCCAAACATTTGTATTTGCTTCCAGTGGTGTAACTAGAAAGTTTTGCTCATTGCCTGTGTGGTTTTCATTCACCCTGATGAGCGGTGCATCTCTTTGACCTGTGACACCTCATCACCTCGAGGTTCAGGACAGCAACACAGCAGCAGGCAGTGGCTCTCCAAGGGCTTTCCAAGACTTGTGACCTTCACAGAAATGCAGAATTAGCTGAGTTGGAAAAACACACATGGATCATTGAGTGCAACTCCTGGGTCTGCACAACACCATCCCCAAGAGTCACACAATGGAGTATTGTCCAAAAGCTTCATGAACTCTCTCAGGCTGGTGCTGTGACCACTGTCCTGGGAGCCTGTTCCAGTGCCCAAATACACACTGGGGGAAGAACCTTTTCCTAATCTAGCCTAAACCTCTCCAAGGAGGCCTGAATACAACTTCAGACCATACCCTTCAAGTGTCTGCCACTTCTTTTCCCTCCGCCCCTCTTCTTCTCCTCACAATGAAGTTGCAGATCACACTGAGGTCTCCCCTGAGTCTCCTCTAGGCTGAACAGACCAAGTGTCCTCAGATGCTCCTCACACAGCTTCCGCTCAAGGCCCTTTACTGCCCTGCTTGGATCACTCTCTGATAGTTTTAATGTCATTCTTACACTGTAGTGCCCAGTCTGCCCCAGACTTGAGGCGGTGCCATCCCAGTGGACAGCAGAGCAGGACAATTCCCTCCCCTGCCTGGCTGGCCATGCTGGGCCTGGTGGCCCCCGGACAGGAATGTCCCTCCTGGCTGCCGGGACATTGCTGACTCAACTTGTCATCAACGAGGACCCACAGATCTCTTTCCACGGCACTGCTCTCCAACATCCCATTCCTCTGTCTGCCCATACACCCAGGGTTGCCCCATCCCAGGTGCAGAGTCCAGCACTTTTGCTTTTTGAACTTCCTGTGGTTGGTGAACACCCAGTCTTCTAATCCATTGAGGCCTCTCCGCAGGGCCTCCCTGCGGAGGCCTTTGAGGAAGTCAACAGCTCCTCCCAGATTTGTAGCATCTGCAAATTTGCCCAGTGTCCTTTCAAGTCTTTCACCCCAGACACTTATGAAGATGTTGAAGAGCACAGGACCAAGGATGAAGGCCTTTGGAGTCCTGCTAGTGACAGGTCTCCAGTCTGATGTCACCCCAGTCACTGTAACCCTTTATGCCTGACCTGTGAGCAAGTTGCTCACCCTTCACATGATGTGTTTATGCATCTGTGGGCTGGACATTTTGTCAAGAAAGGTCCTGTTTTAGTGAGAAACTGTATCAAAAGCTTTACTGATGTCCAAAAACATTACATTACTGGCTTCCCTTGCTCAGTTAGGTGGGTTACCTTGCCATAGAGGAAATCAGATTTGATTAGTAGGATATTCCCCTGAGGATTGAAGCCCTGCCTTGTGCCCAGGTGAGTGCAGTTTGCCTGCCCTCAGGCTCTCCTGGCTGTGGGCCTCCCTGCTGTGCCTTGGTCTGAGGCCCTCAAGGAAGCAGGAGCAATGGATGCAAGCTGACTCTGGACTATTTGGGGTTAAGAGGACGAAAATGCATCTTTCTGCAAATGCAGAGGGGAGTAATCTACATAATATGGGTAAAAGACTCTTATATTACTATGTCAGTGATTAAAAACCACATGCAATAAGAGATTATCTTCTTGCTGAATTCTTAGCTGCACTCCTCACCTCAGTACACTTTCTGTACTGATCTTGAGACAAACTACTGGCACAGGAATTGACATACCCTGCTTTACAGTTCTGCAGCATAGAATAATCCTTGCATACCACCCATGACTATCCTCTAGGGATAAAGTATGCTCGTCTTTAGGAAAGTCTCTTTGCTCTCCTTAACGAGTATTCTATTCATTTTTTCAAAAAACTTTTTTATTACTAACTTAATAACAAGGAAATATTGTGTGGTAACTCCTACATCTGTGCCATAGGAGAGCTCGATGCAAAACAGGCAGCACTCATCTCTACTTTTGTAGTTGTATTTATATCCTTAATGGTTTTTAATCTGTATTAAAATACTTCTTGCAGCCTGTGTGTGTGTTTTCTATGTCTATATATTATATTTAATTCCTCTATATCTTTTTCTAGTGGAAGAGCGCAATTTTGTAGAGATTCACCGATGGCCTTCAAATTTGTACCTGAAGCAGCTTGCTGATTACAGGAACTATATCCACTCTCAGAAATGCCACTGCACAGTAATGTAAAGAGACTGAATACACATAAAGTGCATCTCAACTGCAAAATTTTGAATTGGGGATTATATAGAACATAAAAACCATGTCAAGAGTGAAACCTGATGCTGACCTCCTCCAGAAATTACAGACATTCATTTTTTCGCTAAGAAATAACTCTTATTTTTACCTTGAAGCATTGAGAAATGGACATTGGAGATTTATTTTAAGCACAAGGACTTCATGAGGATTAAATGTATTAGAAGAAGTGCCATGACTGGCTTCTGCTCCCCTTTCTAATTTCCTTTTGGTTTATTTTATTGTTTTTCATGGTTATTTGTGGCTGCTAAACTGAGTCTGTCGAAAATATACTGGTTCTGTAAATCTGTGTGTAATAGAAGCATAGGGTTACAGTAGCAGTGCAGGGAAGCTGAGAAGCCAGGTCATAAGTTCTTCATATACTTCAGGATACAAAAATTTTCTGCAGCATTTTTAAATTCACAATATAATGGGTAGGCTTAAGAAGCATTGTAGTTACTATTAATTTATTACTCCAGAGAAGGTCTGTAGTTCTGTTAAAACCCTATGAGTAGATATTTTATTCAGACGAATGCCTATGCATTACAGTATTCTCTAGTGCCTCCAAATATCTAAAGAATGGCATGATTTTTCCTGCCAGTAGGTAGGAGAAGAAAGCCTGTTTTCACACTCTGCAGAACAGCTTTGTTATTGTGGTCATATTGTATTTTTCCCCATGAGGAATGAAGAGTGGGAAAACTACGTATAGTCAGAGCATATCTGTATGGTACTGATGGACAGGGAAGAAAGGTAGAGGAATCAACAGCCTTTCTTGGGGTTTGAGCAAAAAAATTCACTAGAGGAAGTGGCTTTTTTGGGAAAAGTGTGTCTAGTAATTGTAGTCACCACAATACATGTTAGATGTGCTGGTCATCAAGGAGATGACCATCACAGATTTGCCAGTGCTGCCAGGGTTGTTGGCTTTTGTGGTGGGACTTCCATGTCAAACCTCCCCAGCAGGGATTCAGTTCAAGTTTAGTTATCATTCTGTGCCTGTAAGCTACACCATGTGAGACAAACCTAGCTGTGGATCCTTTCTGAGATACAAGAGGAAAACCCAGAATACTATGACTGGCATGATCCTTGCAGATGCTATTTAGAATCTTTATTTTCTTGACCAAAATAACTTGTCATGCCGCTGACTTGTATTTACATAGTATGTGCTAATGCCAAAATGAACCCAGCCTTTTCCTGAGCATAAGTGCTTTTCTAGAAGCAAAATCTAATCAAGGAGCTAAATGCCTCATTATCATTCTTGAACTTTCAGTTCTGGTTTTTCTTCTGCCTTTGTAATGTGGTATGTAGCCTGAGATGGTGGCATTTCTACCACATCAAATGTACCTGGAAACTGCATCTGTGAGAAGGTGGAAAGACAAATTGCTGGATATAAATCTTTTTTTTTAAAGATATAAGAATATTTTTCAATACTGTTTTATAGATAAACTGTTCTTTTCAAATTCCATTCTAGAGTAATGGAGTTTTGGTTTTGTTGGTTTTTTTTTTGGGGATACTTTGCAGAAGTTAAGAGTGTGTTTCCTTCCCTGTTTTTGTATACATACAAAATAAAAAAGAGTTTATGGCTCAGCTGGCTGCTGCAGACTCCAAATTCCAAGGTTAGTTTTAGGCAAGAATGATTTTTTTTTTTAAACTCTGCATCTGCAAATCCTAAAGTTATTTAAAAGATAAATATATTTATCTACATCTTGCATATAGGGAGCTTAAAATATAGAGAATGATAATGCTTTTTCAAGATCATGAAAGAGAACTGAAATTATTAAACAGAAAAAAAATAGTAGGAAAGTAATATGCATGGAACAGAAACGTGAAAAAAAGTAGTTTTTATAGTTATATAGTTATCAAAAATGTAAGCAAAAATTAAATTAGTGGATAGATATTAATAAAACTGTAAGGTTTTTGAAGCTTAAAGTCATGGAAAAATTTGTTAACATACAGTTAAACAACAGCTTGTCTAGACATCTGATAGCATCCTTGGGTTCTTCTACCAGAAGTCAGCTCAGTTATGAAAAGTGGGGATTAAATGCTTCATACTGACATCCTTTGCAAAAGTGACACAAAAGTTCTGTGAATGTTAGTCTAAGCTTTGTGTAGTCCTGCATTTTTAATGTTTTGAAAGTTTTCCCAGTTTTTCCACTAGGAATTCATCTGTTGCCATTGATTTGTGTATAGATAACACATAAGAAAGTACTGGTTTTAATTTTCTGTAAATGTTTTATAGTTATTTAAAAATAGGCTTAATGGAAATATAAACACTTTATATCCAAACCAGAGAAATATTTTGCTATTACACATTTTAGTCAGTGATAGCCACAGGTTTTATACAGAGAAGTCAAGCAGTATAAAAATATTTAGTATTTATTCAGAGATTCTGAGAATAATGCTTACTACTGTTCAGATAATAAACCAAGTTTCCATTTTACTGTGTATCCCCATAATGCTGCCTGTATCAGGTGCAGATGTGTTGTACTTGCAGACATACACCATCTGATAAATTTTAATTCTTAGAAGAAATCTTACTAGACATTCTTATTTTCATTCTCTAACATGATTTTCTGATGAAATGTATGTATCTTAGAGCTATTTTTAAACCTTTTTTAGCATTTGGAAACATGACTGAAAGTAGATAATGATGCTTTGTGATTTGTTATTCTTAGCTGGTTTTAGTGGAGGGTTTAGGACTGTATCCATCACAGATAGTCAGGAATTAGGGTAGTTCTGAATTTGGTATTTGTTTATAACTGTGCATGGCATAAAGTAAAAACCACTTTGATATAAATCTCTCACCTTATGTTATGGTATAAAGTAAAAATCAGGAACCAATTGGGAAAAAAAAAGTTATTTGAAGAAAAAGGTGGTTTTGAAAAAGTAAAATGTTTCTGGAATGCTTCCACTGGTTCCAACACCTCCCAAACTCCCCTGGCACTGGCAGCATTGGGATCAAAGACAGAGGTCAATGGTGAATTTGGATGTCCCTAGGCAGTACCTGTAGCATTTTAAATTATATATATAGGCTTAAATTTAAGTAGAGATGCAACTCCTGAATCCTTCATTAGAACTAACTCTCAAAATTAACTTTCAGCAAATAATTTTTTGAATAGTGGATTACACTGTCAATTTTTGCTATCCTGTATATGTGTGTTCTTGTCCTAAACTAGCACTAAGCTTTATAGAGACTAAAAAAAAAGTTTTCTGCACTAGTAAGGTTTTCCACATGATAGTCAGAAAACCTTTGCTATTGTCCGTAAGACATGGTGTGGTTGATTTGGGAAAAAAAACACCAAAAAAACCCCAAAACCAAACAACAACAAGAAACCCCAATCTGTTAGAAAAAAGAATAACTATTTTATTAGGCATGTCCTGAAACTCTTGTATGTTTTTCTTTTAGCGTACCCTGACTAAAGTACACATTTTTAGATTGAATATGTAAAATTTTTGATAAAAATTAAAAAAATATTCTCTAATTGGTATTATGTGATTACTTATGGATATATATTAACATACTTGAGTGTTACACTGGTGATATTTTTTGTAGCTTATTGGAATCATAGAGCCATACTGGCATGGGCAGAGCCATTGGCTTGGGCTGCAAAGGACTTAAAGATCATCTTGTCCCAATACCCCTGTCATGGGTAGGAACACTTTCCTCTAGACTAGCCTCACCTTGGACACCCAGGTCCTCAAGTGAGCACCCACTGAGCCACAACAGCAGCACTGAGCACTGATGAAAGCTGCAGGCAGTGTCCCAAAAGCCAGAGTGTGTTCAGTCAGCAGTAGGAAAATTTTGGAGGAAGGGTTTGGTTTATGAAGCATTGAAGAAAGAGGGAAGAAAAAGGAAGGGGAGATCAGATAGGAGAAGATCACTAGTCTTGGGTCCAGCATTGATTTGGCAAGTTCCCCATCCAGGCTCGGTGGGAGTACCTTTTTATAGGTAAGTACATGTAGGCTCCCTGCATTTTTTTATTACCTGTCAGACTTTTCCAGTAGTTCTGAAAACAGGAGGCAACAAGAACACTATTAAGACTCATCCCATCTTCACTGACACTACTGTAAATCTGAAGTGCTTTAGTTGATCTGTACATCTACTACTTTACAGATCTGTAGATCCGTAGTGATGTAGGGTACCTGCTTGTCTTTTTCCTAAAAGCTTGTCTGGTGAGATTTTTGCTATCTTGTGGCAAGTGCAGAACTGCAAGAAATTTACTGTGGAAAGGGATGCATGGGTGGATAGCTAGAAATCATGCAGAGGATTGGCACTAACTTGGATGTAGATGGAGTCTTCTTTCCAGGGTTGTGACATGGTATTCAGCCATCATGGGTTACCTGAGATCATTTGTGCCCACTTCACTGCAGTGGTATTAGGGGAAGCTCTGCTGGTGGAGAACAACTAACACAGTCTTTGCTGTCATTTTAAGTCCACAGTGTCTCTTAGGAAACAAGGCAAAAAGTTGTGTCAGTACGAAGACAGACATATCAGCCAGTCCCGATCTGCTCCAGAAGCCTCAGGTTGAAGACAGAGAAGGCAAACACCTAAGGCAGCAACACTTCACCCAAGTACAGAGGGTGGTTTGGGGTGGAAGGCTGAATTCTGGTCAAAGCTTTTATTTTTATTCCGGGTCAGTACTTCTGACTTTCCTGTAAAGTGATGTCCTCACAAAATATTTTTACTGCATGTATTTTGCAATCAATGTTATTGTTATGAAAATGGCTATTTTGAAAGCATGTATCTTATTAAGTCTTGAAACCATTCTTAGCCTATATATGTGGCTGTCACATTTGGAAAGGAGAAGGAGGTTCAGGACAAGTGGTGGGGAAAAACACCCAATCCTCCAGTACTGAAATCCATCCCTTTTCTCAGTTCTGCTCTACTCCCAGCCTCTTGTTCAAGGACAGCTGAAAACAATGGCTGAGCCCAACTACAATATCAAAGTCCTTTGTGTATCAGGGAGGC